CTGTTTGGCTTTCAGTGAACTTTTAGAAAATTAAGTTGAGAGACATGGGTCTGATGAATGTGACTTAACATTAAGCCTTTGACCTTGATTCCACACAGAGAATAAGCAAGAATGCTTGTGAACAAATTATCACATCAATCAATGAAAAAAGAAACAAAAATGATATTTATTTAGAATTTGTAGCAGTATGGCCAGAAACTATCATTTAGTTAAATACCCCAGCAACTTGGAGGCAGGCAGGAAAGTGAAAATGGGAAGTGCCACAGATCTCTTCTGACAAAGGCTGTTGGCGTGGGTGTAGAAGTGAGCTAATTAGAAATGAAGTCATCCAGGCAGTGGTGATGCATGCCTTCAATCCCAGCACTCAGGAGTGGAAGGCAGGAGGATCTCTGAGGTCATAGGAAGCTAGACTGTCCTACACAGTCAGTTCTAGGAGAACCAGGACAACACAGGGAAACCCTGCCTTAAAAAACCAAAAAGAAGGAGGAGGAGGAGAAGAAGGAGTAGAAGGAGAAGAGGAAGGAGAAGAACAAAAGTCTTAGACATAGACACCCCTTTGACACTTGACTTTCTTTTGTTAATCTTACAGTGGAAGTGGGGCAATGGAGAGACAGATTATCAAGGTCACATTTGGAGTTTACGGAGCAGAAGAGGTGAGCTGAGTTTCTGGATTGGTTGTTGAAGACTTTGTGAGTTGAAATTGCATTATTATGTGTGGTCTGCCTGCTGTTGATTTGCGTATTCAGTCTCTCAGGTGACACCCTGTAAGGGAACAGTGGGAATACTTTTATCTAACAATCCTCCTCAGCTAGTTGAAGAAGAGAGCAGAAAGCAAGCATGTGCAGAAACAGGAGCCCATGTTCTGTCTCAGGGAGTCATGAGTAAGTTCTGCATGCAGTAAGCATGGTACACATCTGTGACTTGACACAGCACTTGCACTATAAAAATTTAATCAATTTCCTGTTTTCTTAGAACAAAGCGCCCGTACTGTCCCATTTGCTTTTCTGCGGTCCACACTCTAAGATTAAGTCTAGAGATGCCTGTGTTCTATTCTTATTGTCCCTCCTCTCCCTGGTGTGGATGATGCTGTGAAATCTAACAATGCTGTCTGTCACCTGAATTCACAAGAATCCCTGCTCTTCTTCATACACAGGGATCGTTTGATTCACAAGAAGCTAGTTCAGTTATCAATTTAGAAAAGAACCACACACTGTCCGGTAGGGTCTCTGCAGCATCAGCTTTTAGAATTAGATGGACACTAATCAGTTCTATTTTATGATATCAAAAGCATAGTGTGATTCTAAATTTTGTGCTATTCAGTGCAATGCGCCAAGAGGAAGGGGCGGTCTTAAAAGTGGCTGGTTTAAAAGATGATTTATGGTGAGGATGTCAGAGGAGTTTAGCCATCGCTCTTGCATCTTTTCTTCAGCTGCTGAGACACAGCTGTATTTCTTCTCATATGTACCTTAGACTTTCAAAAATCATAACCCTTATATTTCCCCACACCCTCTAGGATCTCTTTTATGTATGAGCTAAGTGAAACAGTAATGTGACACCCATTTTAAAAGGGACAAAAAATTGTGCCCTACAGTAATATGAAGTTTCAAAGGGTCTTGAAATTTTTGTTTTTATGTTTTTTCTTTTGGCAAGTCTAGTGTTACTCAAAGATTGCTTTCAAGTTGTACCTTGCCTGCTGCAGTTTTGGTAATTATCAGCTTCCCTGCTATGGTTAGATGTACATAATATTAAATCCATCCTCCTAATCTTCATTTAGGTTTATGCCATTCCAAATCCTTGCTGGAGTGATTCTCAGCATACAAGAGTCACGGTGTCTCAAACTGGGGTTCAAGAAGGGACTCTGCTGCTTAGATCTTTCCCATGAAACAATAAAGCTTATTTGCTCACAGATAGCTTCATTTCTGAGATGACAAGATCTTTTAGTCTTTTAGAAATGCTTGCAAGGGAAGTTAAAACAACAGAAGAAACTCATATCAGGCCAAGAAAACTAATGGTATTCTCACTGATTTGCTTGAAAATCTGTAACACAAGAACTATGTATTCATCACAGAGTCCCTAGAATCCTCCTCAGAGCAGGAGACACAGAGTTTCAGAAGAACCGTCATTGGGGATGTATGAAAGTTGCTGACCTCATCACATGATTCCAGCACCCAGTTCTTTTATTTTGCTTATTTCTGGTGACGTCCACTCTCTTCACCCATGTTATTACCCTCTAGAGATGTCCCTTTCTGTGCCTTACTGTTTTATAAGTGAACTCTAAATATTTCATCCCCTTCTACCTCCCATCTCTCTCTCTTCTTCAGGGAACATTCCACCCAGAATCAGCTCTCTCTCCCTCCCCCTCCCTTCCTCTCTTTCTCCCTCCTCTCTCTGATGTTATTTATTCACTCCTGGTTTTAAAATTCTTTCAACATTTCTCCATAGTCAAAAAAGAAAAATTAATTTACTTTCACCAGAATGCCAAGAATTTCCTGTAGTGATTTTATTGCTCAACATTTAATCAAAGTTTACTTTTTGAAATATGTATATTTCAAATATAAATGAATCATGCAAAGGTTTGTGGTTATACGGCTTAGTGGTAAAGTACTTGCCAAGAATGTGGAAGACCCTTAATATAATCCTATAAGAAAAAAAAGAAAATAAAAAATTGATAAACAGGAGTGATTTTTTTTTACAGTCAGATAAATATCCTGCCTATTATATTTAAAGTAAACCTAGACATACTCTTAAGTTGGACCTTGGGTTCTGAGACAGCACTAAACGGAATATTATGGGCCTACTTTTATTTATTTATTTTTTATATCTTCTCATTGGAACAAGGTGCATGGTTAATCTGGAAATTAAAAAATACTTATATTTTTTAAAAAATCACTAATAAAGGCTGTTTTTCTAGAAATAAAACCAGTAAGATAACAGCTTAAATTGACAAAATTTTAGTCAATGACAGATCTACTGCAAGTAACCACCCAAGCCAACAAGGCATGAAAGGGGAATCTAGCCATCAATTCTAATAAGGTGCAATAAAGACACTCTAGATGCCATGCAGAGACAGTATCAAGTAAAGAGTGTTGTCTTCCATTCTACTGTATAATTGGAAGAGCCTTTGTCACGGCATCATTGCAGTGCACATGAACATCCAACTTCCATCCTCATTTAGAAGCAATAATCCCCCATATCTTCATCACTAGGACAGCAGAATAGGCCTAATAGGGAACTAGTGCTTTTACCACAGATCACCTCCCTTTCTGGTGGGGAGGTCAAAGGAAATACATAGGGAATAAGGATAAGCATCTTACCTACTCAAAGAGCTTTGGGTCCAGCAAGAGAAGAATGACTCTTTATTGTGTATGAACAATTTTATTGATGAAGATGTCCCTCCTGGAACCACATTCTTCACATTCTGAAAGAAAGTTTTGCCTACAAAAACCATATATATATTTCAAGAATGAAGTAGAAATCTAAACAATCTCAAATGAAGAAATGGTCTTTTCTTTTCCCTTGAGTCTTAAGGCTATTATGTCATTTTTAAAAAGAGGTTAAGGGAATGTAAGTAGACATAAGAATCTGCATTTCCCTCTCTCTCCAACCAAGGACCATGCATGGAGATAACCTAGAACCCCTGCTCAGATGTAGCCCATGGCAGCTCAGCATCCAAGTGGGTTCCCTAGTAAGGAGAACAGGGACTGTCTCTGACATAAACTCAGTGGCAGGCTCTTTGACCTCCCCATCCCCGAGGGAGGAGTAGCCTTGCTAGGCCACAGAGGAGGATATTGCAGCCGGTCTTGATGAGACCTGATAAACTAGGGTCAGATGGAAGGGGAGAAGGACCTCCCCTACCAGAGGACTTAGAGAGGGGCAGGGAGGAGATGAGGGAGGGAGGATAGGATTGGGAGGGAATAAGGAAAGGGATTAAGGCTGGGATACAAAGTAAATAACCTATGATTAATATAAAAAATAAAAAATATATAAAAAAAAGAATCTGTGTTTCCTTTCCACTGGCAAAATGATAACATTGTATTAGGGAACCGCTTTCTAGTGCATCCACTACAGAAAACTTACATACAAAAAGGAATGAGGAAAAACACTGCAGAGAAATAAAAAAAAGGCTGCTGTAAATGATATAAGAAATATACATGAGGTCATTAAAAATAACCAGAGCAGAGAGACTACAGAGGAAGCTGCTAGAGACAGTTTAGTAGGTGATGCGCTTGCCTTGTGAGCAGCAAGACAGGCTTTCAATCACAAGAACACACACATGAAAGAAATCTGAGTGTGGTGACCCATGCTTGGAATCCTAAGGCTGGCAAGGCTGAGACAAACAGATATCTTAGGCTGCTTAGACTTCTAGCCTAGCCAACTCCCTCATAGTCCAGGTTAGTGAGAGAACCTGTCTACACACACACACACACACACACACACACACACACACACACACACTCCTGATGGTATACGGCCCCTGAGTAACAGAACGATTTCCCAGAATGTAGTCCGATCCCTACACAGAAGCACACCACCCACCCATACCAGTTCACATATGAAAAAAAAAAAAAAGAAAACAAAATGCAAAAATCCTAATCGCTAATACATCATTATTAAATTAAATGCAAATAGTCTAAATGAATCAGTTCTCAAGATTATCAGAGTGGCCCAATGATAAACTGTCTGTAAGAAACTCCCTTCGTGCACATAGGATTTTTAAAGGTAAAACAGTGAGGAGTACTGATAAACATTAGTTCACAGAAAGCAGAGGTGATTATGTTAGTAATAGAAGTAGTAGATTGCAGATCAAAGAGATTTCTCATATCCATGAAAGGATTATAAAATGATAATAAAAGAGTTTGTAAAGAAGACATGCAGTCCTGAATGTATATATACCAAACAGTAAGGCTTCAACGGCACAATCAGAGCCAGGGACTTAAATCAGTCTTTTTGTTGAAACACAAACAATAAGATGGAATCTCAATAAGAATATAAGACTAATTCCTGGTCCCAAAAGCACTACAGGTGTAGCTGCTGTGTCACATTTGCGTCAGTAGGTGGTAGAACGAAGAGAGGCTATGACTATGTTCAGTGTTCTGACCTATGAACATCTGAATGATTAGTAGCATAACATTCCCTGAAAAAAATGAACCTGAGACAACCACCAGATCAGTGCTATGGGGCCTGCACATGGAGCTAGCCTGAGATGACCACCAGTCTGAGGACATGCAGGCTGGGGACCTCAGGTCCAGGGCAGGAGTGGGCCAGAGACAGATGACCCTTGCATGCGGTCACTCAGGTGGGCCAGGCAAGGAGCAAGCCTGAGAGGACCACAAGTCTGGTGCCATCCAGTCCTGGAGAATAGACCGTGGTCAAGATGGCCCTTGCCTGATATCATAATGCACAAATGGGATATAGCACTCCTGAGATGGCCCCAGACACTCAGAGATCCCGAGCACTACTAAGAGGGGAAATGGAAAAGAAAGAGAAACAGAAGGATATGGGCACGATGAAGAGAGGCAGAACTGGAGACTTGAGGGTACTGATGATCAGACTGATGTGAGCAGCCAGGGATGCCACCTGGGACCATGACCATGTAACAGCAGGGGCCTGTTACTACGAAAGGCCTGACAGATGTTGTTGGTCTAGGCTGCTGCCTGGGGACATGTTAATTTCTGAGGGCCATGCAGAACTGGTCCCACCCCTCACCTAGGAATCCTGGGAGATCTGGCCCAGGGGACATGAGAGCAGAAGAACTGACCCCACTTCTAGCCAGCTGCAGTACTTAGAAAAGCAGCTCCTCTTCCACGCCCCCACCCCCAACGAACACATTGCAGGAGTTGAGGATGAGGCAGCCCTGAGGATAAAAGCTTGGGAGAGCTGGCCCTGCCACTCCTGTGCGGTTGCACAGATAAGGGAGAGATACCCTCTCTTCTCTTGGCACCTCACCACCAGCTGCAGGAGGGAGCCCTGGCGCTGAGGTCATGGAAGCAGAAGAGCTGTCCCTGCCCCTCACCTGGGCAGCACAGCAAAGTGGGCCCTGGATGTGGGTGTTGAGGGTGAGTCTGCCTCAAGAGCTTGAGTGAAAGCAAGCTTCTCTGGGCCTGTCCCTTGTCTGCTGGGAGATGAGAGAGAGATACCCTCCTCCCTTCCCTCATCCCTCACCATTTATGGCAGGATGGAGAGCTACTGACCTGAGTTAATGAGAGCAGGAGAGCCTTTCCTGCTTCTCACAGGCTGCAGTGCTCAGGAGAGTGGGCCCTACACCTCGCCTGGGCAGGAGGGTAGAGGGCTGCAAAGCTCAGATATTCTCAGGCCCAGATCTAGAGCTTTGAATTGGCCCAGTCCAACACCTACTCTACCCGTGAACTGTTGGAGTACATGAAGGGGCTGGTCGTGCAGATCCAAAGCTACAGGATCTCAATGACACAGGGCAACACCGGGATATCCGAGAGGAGTGCCAGTGAGCCCCAGCATTGATAGAGGAACAGAAGCCGGGGCCTCATACCAGACCAAGTCACTGCAATCAATATTTGCAAGAATATATATATATATATATATATATATATATATATATATATA